GGAAATATATTTTCTGTGGATTCTAGAATAACAGGTGTTTTTTTTTCCTTTAAACATTTTAGAGAAATTATTCCATTGTATTTTTGTTTGCATTATATCTGATAAGAAGTCTTATCTGTATTTCTGTGTGGATAGTGTTATTTTTATCCCCTCCGATTGCTTAAGAGTTTCTTGTTATTACTGAGCTACAGCAATTTGATTATGATGTCATTATGATTTTTAGAAGTTTAGTTGTATGTTTTATTTTCTTTGTGTTGACTCTGAGGTTTGTTGCGTTTCTTAGATCTGTGAGTTAATGGATTTATGTTTCTCATCAAATCTTGAAAATATTTGGCTGCTTTTTCAAGTATTTTTCAGTACACAAACCTCCCCCCACACACACACCCCTTTTCTTCTTTTTCTGGGATTCCAACTTCATGTATATTAGACTAGTTGGTATTATTCCGCAGGTTACTGAGGTTCATTTCTTTCATAGCCTTTACTCTCTGCGTCCTTTAGTTTGGAGACTTTCTATTGCCCTGTCTTCAAGTTCTCTAATATTTTCTGCAGTGTCTCATCTGGTGATTATTTAATGAGTTTTTCTATTCAGATATTATATTTTTAGCTCTAGCAGTTCCATTTGTTATTTTTGTACTTTCCATTTCTTTCCTCATTGTGTTTATGTTTTCCTTTAAATCAGGGATCAGCAAACCGCTTCTGAAAAAGGCCATATAGCAAATATTTTAGACCTTGTAGCCCATAGAGTGTCTGTCATAGTTATTCATCATAGCACAGAATTAGCCGGAGACAATACATAAATGAACGCACAGGGCTGTATCCTTTTAACTTTATGAAACTGATGGTGAGCCGACTTTGGCCTTTGGGCTGAAGTTGCCAACTGCTGTTTTAAATCTTTGAACATATTTATATTCACTGTTTTTAAGCTCCTGTCTGCTAATTGCATTATCTCTAACATTTCTGGGTCTGTTTCTTTTGACTAATATTTCTTCTGGTTACGGGTCATATTTCCTGCTTCACATACTAATTATTTCTTATTGGGTGCTGGATGTGTGGTGTTAAATAGTTGGTTGCGTGATTTTGTTGTCTTCCTTTATAGAGTGTCCAGTTTTTCTTTTCTTTTTTTTTCCCCCAGTTTTCCTTTTGTTGGGCAGTTAAGTTACCTGTGGATTAGCTTGATATGTTTAAGGCTTTTTAACAACTTGTTACAGCCTATTGGGAGTAGCTTTCACTCTAGGCTCTTTCCAAGGTTTCCTTGGATGCTGAGCCTCATCACTCTAGCTTGTTGAAGCACAAGTGTTTCCCAGCCCTGTATGAACGCTGTATTTTTTTCCCACTAGTTGTCTTTTCCTGGCCTTATGGAATCTCACCCCAGTTTGCAATGCAGCTTTTATGCCAAAGTCTAAACAAACTCTAGCTTTTATAGTTTGTTCTCTACATAGCTCCCTTTTCTCTAGGATTCTGCCCCACAAATTTCAATTACTTAGGCTCCCTGAACTCAGATGTCCTACTCAACTCAGCAAGACCGTCATGCTGTGCTTGGGCTCCTCCTCTTTGGGCCACAGATTTTGCTGTAGACAGAATGTGTCTACAAATCAAAAGCCAGAATCGTCATAGGGTTTCCTCATTTGTATCCCTTCTCTCAGCAATCAGAAGTCCAGTACTGACTGTTGTGCAGTGTCTGGAAAGAATTTTTCCATATATTTTGTCCAGTTTTGTAACTGTTTGCTGTAAGAGTGAAAGCCTGTACCAGCTACTTAATGATCTAAGGTGGAAACCCTCAGCCACAAGCCAGGATCTCTAGCCCATATGTAACAATATCTCCACGCTCCCATGAGAGCTGGAATGTCCTGCTCAATACATCGTGTTATTTTTATGTTTTATGGTGGCTCTGGCCAGGTAGTCTTTTCTACTTATACTATAGGTGCTTGTCTTTATCCCCCTTGTTTCTTCATTTAGTATGGGTAAAATGTGATTTTTTTCATATTGGATACACAGTAGTGGGTCTTGTAGGTTTTAGAAAATACACTTAAAAGGTGGTTTGAGTATGTATAACTTTTAAAATTCTTTTAATAAAACTGATTTTTTTTAGTTTTTATGTTTGGAGTTTTCATGTAAACTATTACTTATTTTAATCAAGTCAGTTACATTTAGGAACCATTAACCTCTAACGTTGAAAAGAATTTGTGAAGTTTCCTATCAGTTACAGAGTTTAAACTAAAATGTCAAGGTACAGGCCAAATGGACTCTTGAGAATGAACAAAGGACAAGAAGATGAGTTATTTGTGTGCATTTTGTCTGGGAATCACCACATCTGCCTCTAAGGCTGAGTAATGATGACTTACTAGTGTGGTTATGGAAAGTATATATCAGTTTAGCTGTGTGAATGAACTGCCCTTCAGGGGAAAAAATTGTCATCAGATTGCTGAAAATTTCTCTTTTTAGAATCACTTGAAATTAAAAATATGAATACATTTTCTATCTTCTTGTTTGTTGGGGTACATATTTTATCTATATTTCTGGAATATAAATGTAGTTTTTTTTCTTCCTCTATGTTCCAGAAATGCCATTTTTAGCATTTAGGACAGTTAAATATTTGGTCACTTAGAGTTCATTTCTAGAGTTGAAGGGTTGACTGTTCCTGTAGCCTATAAGGGACAGGTGCGTGGTGATCTGAACAAACTCTTGAATTTCTTCTGTTTTACTTACATTTTTCTTTTGTGTTTTCATTTCTCTTTTTGTGTTTTCAAACAGTAAAGGTGGAGGTTATAATAATTTTTTAATTGCATCTGATACTAAGCTATGTGTACAGTGAGAAATTTTTCACTAATTATTCAGGTATTCTGAATTCCCAAAACTTTAAATTGGATTTTTTGGGTTCTTTCAGAAGATTGCAAGAATAATCCTTTTTTCTCCCCATTTGTGAAATCTCTTTTATGTGCATGGTATTCAAATAAACAGTTATAAATTTTATGGCTAATAACTTTTTTTTAAAAACGAATACTCTAAAGCATTCTTTTTAAAAACATACTATAATTATCTTTTAAACTTAAATATTACTATTTATGGATTTCTATGAGTTAAAACTGAAGAAAAAGAGGAACCAACTTAAAATTCACATAGATTTTTTTTTTGTTCAGAAGAAACCTAATAACTGATTCAGTGCTAAGTGCAGAACTTCATTATTTAGATTTTATTTGAACAAAAAATACCTATTGCATTTAGTGAGAAATGTAGATTTATGAATACCTTTTTCATATTAATATGCAACCCAAAATTTTGTTTTATATTGCCTCTTATCTTGATAGCAGTAGGAATTCTTTAATGTCTTCGTTTATCATTGCATCTTAGGCACTTTGTCTTTGAACCACAAGTTCTTTCACTGTGTGATTTTAAAAGACTCACAGAGACCACTTATTGTGTGTATATGTATACAGACATACGTATGTGTATATATACATATGTATGTGTGTATATGTATATATAACTTTATTCTACAAATATAGCATTTTTCTTCATAACAGCTAATGGCTGTTACTTTTTGAGGGCTTACTGTATGCCCAGCACCATTCTAAGCGGAACACTTTACATGAACGCTAATTTAAACCTTACAACATCCCCAGAATGTAGATCCTGAAGGTATTTTATTATTCCCATTTCATAGATGAGGAAAGCAAGAGTCAGAAGTTAAGTGACAGAGGCCAGAACCTAAACCAGAATGTCCAGCTCTAGAAGTTATGCTTATGGCCACTATGCTATAAACTTTGTCTGAGGATGCTTTAAAGTGAATACTTATACCATATGTGTGAGAGCAACATATTAAAAATGTCCAACTTTTAAATCTTACACCCCATGAGACCTTTGGAAATTAACATTAGATTTTATTGACATATTTGATTACATTTGGAGTTTTTGAATTTTGAAGCTAAATAAAAACCATTAAATGAGTTTAATTCTCTTTCTTTGCAGAAGAGTAAATAGGCTCAGAAAGGTTAAGCGACTTGTCTAAGATTGCTTATTTTCTGACCCTTAATTTACTACTTTCCCAATGGTTCCTAAATTTAGCCTACTAGAACCTAACCTATTTGAAACTCTAAAGAAGCTTGTTTATAATATACAGGTTCCCACTCCTACTTATTGAGTCAATGTATGTTTAGGGGACCCATGAATTTATATTTTTAACAAACTCCATAGTTGATTCATATGCAGGCACCTCACCTTGGCACACAGTATATTTGGGAACCCTTGTGTTTAAGCCTTTATCACACACCTAGATATTAACCCATTTAATCTATATGATTCTGATTAACTTGTAATATTTCAAAATAAAGGTACAAAGTAGCACAAAAGCTTCCATAGAAAAAGTTACTTTAAAAGAAAAATTCACTGATACTATTTTCACAGTTTTATTTTTATTTTAGGATCTCAGTGAGAAAGATAAGTGAGTTAGTTACTTAAGCTACTGTTTCTAAGGACAAAAAATGGTATTTTCCAATTACACCTAAAGGAATAAGGCACAGGAAGTTTTTATCAAAAGGTGCGAGCATTCTTAAAAATGAGAAATATGGATAAGTAAAATCAGAATCAAGCCAGAAATCATATGGTTTCCAAGGGCTAGTGTTAGTGAAGATTGACTACAAAAAGGACATAAAAAAACTTTTTGCAGTGATGGAGATACTTTATATCTTGATTGGTTGTGATTATACAGCTGAATGTATTTGTCAAAACTCATGTAATATATACCTTAAAAAGTGACTTTTAGTATATATAAATTATCAATCTGATTTTTTTTTTTTTAAGCAAGCCAGGAAGAAATTCTGGGAAGGAATTTTCAAATTACCAGCTGCGTCTTGAAATATATAGTTAGAAATATTCTTGATCTTTAAAAGGTTTTTCTGTTAATATATAGTGACTAAAGGTACCATTAAAATAACATGTGTATTATTTATACACATGTGTATATATTAATATTTCTAATCAGGTTTCTCATCTTTGTTTTATAGGGTCCACATATAGCGTCAGTAACATTAGCTGCTTATGAATGCAATTCAGTTAATTTCCCCGAACCACCCTATCCTGATCAGATTATTTGTCCAGATGAAGAGGGCATTGAAGGATCCATTTCTTTGTGGAGCATCATCTCAAAAGTTAGAATTGAGGCCTGCATGTGGGTAAGATGTCCATTTTCATATTTGTCTAAAATTAACCTATCTTTATACTTTGTTGTCCCTCAATGAAATTGAATCCAAACATACCAACTCAGATAATTAATTCATGATGTAATGAGCTACCCACTTCCAAGTAAAAGAAACTTTTTAGAGAAGGCTTTTAGAGTTTCTGTTAGTGAATGACATTCAGAAGGAAGGAATGAAACCTTCCTTCTTTGGTACTTTGAAGCAGTTGATGCCACAACAGCAGGAAAAAGGAGTATAGATGATGCAACTATACTACTTTGTAAAACTTTACCAATGTATATATATTTGATAAACACATAGCAGGTGGTTATATATCTATCAGTCCCAAATTGGCAAATGTTATGTCTCTCTCCTGGATTTAAATATTCTGTGTTTATTCTTAGAAGACTCATTCATATTTTCTGAGTTGTTCTAATACTGAAGTAAGGTGAGACATTTCTTAATAAACCAAGCTTTACTTTAGTGGTGGTATCAGACTATATGGTTATATATTGTGATCTTCCATTCAGTTGTACTAATTTATTCTTTTTATGAGTTGCTTCAGTATATTTTGGAAGTTTTTGGACTGTATGTTCAATGGCAGATTTATTTTAACCCACACAAAGCATTGTTGTTGTTTTTTCCCCCTACATACTTAAATTCATTCAGGTACCTATCATTGAGGAATACGGTATTTCCCCGTGTATAAGATGCTCCCATGTATAAGATGCACCTTAATTTTGGGGCCCGAAGTTTGAAAAAAGTATTACATAAAGTTATTGGACTCAAGTTTTATTCATCATAAAGTTCATACAACTCCTCATCACTGTCAAAACTCCCAACCATTAGCTTGTCCTCATCTGTGTCTGATGACGTATCACTGTCTTCATATATTGCCTTGTCCTCAGTTCCATCTATGGCATTTGAAATCTACAACCACTGTATAAGACGCACCCAGTTTTTAGACCCCAAATGTTTTGAAAAAAGGTATGTCTTATACGTGGGAAAATAACGGTAGATCATTTGCTAAAGAATGCCTATTACCATTTGAATTGTGTTTTAATTCATCATTTGGATTTGTTAAGTTATATATTCCCTGTAACTTTGTGCCCACAGAAAAGGCAGAGTTTTCAAAGACATTTAAGTGGTGGCAATTATGTTGTGTTTTAAAAGAATTATAAGGGAAATGCCATACATTGAAATCATTGAATATGAAAGACAGGAAAAATTGTCATGTTTCCTGTTACTCTTTTATAAACACTGGAAACAAATTCATTGTACTAGTTGCATATGTTTTTTAAATTTGACCATGTTAGTCTTTTGATGAAAAATGTGTATTAAAATAACAGAAGATACTTGGAACATGCTAGAAAGGGATTATGTGTATAGACTTCTGTTTTCTATTTTTCTTTTGTTCTTTCAAAAATGAATTACTTGGCTGAATTAACACTAATGCCAATAAAGAAACACTTCCATCCCACCTGGCAGTGATAACTGCCTCCTCCAAAGTCCCATAGTGCATATTGTGTGTAGCTCTCATTTGGCCTGGTTCCATGGACCCCTTAAACTAGTGAGCTTGGCTGGTTTAGAGGTTTATTTCCCCAAATAAATTTTAAGCCCCACAAAAATACAGACTGCACCTTAAATTTATTGCGCATAGAGGAATCAGCATTAGGTTTTGCACTTAGTACAAGAATTGCAATAAATACTGACTATTGGCTGGACATTTGCTCTTCATAGTTCCTTTTTTGAAAATGTCGTTTGTCATGTAAAAAATGTAGCACATATCAAGTTATGTTTATATTGGGTCCCATTGTTCTCAACATTTGTACGGACAGTCTTTTCAACAAAAGGTGCTAGGAAAACTGAATATCCACATGCAAAAGAATGAAGTTGGACCCATACCTTACACCATATACAAAAATCAACACAAAAGGCAACAAAGACATCAACTTAAAGAGTTAAACTATAAATCTCTTAGAAGAAAATATGGAGACAAATCTGCGTGGTGTTGAATTTGGCAGTGGTTTTTTAAATATAATACCAAAAGCATAGGCAACGAAAGGAAAAAAAAATAGATAAATTGAACTTCACTAAAATTAAAACCTTGTACATCACAGGGTACTATGAAGAGTGAAAAGGCAACGCACAGAATGGGAGAAAATGTTTATAAATCATATATCTCATAAGGGTTTAATATGCACAATGTTTAAAGAACTACAACTCAACAGCAAAAACACAAACAATCCAATTTAAAAATGGACAAAGGGGGCCGGCCTAGTGGCGCGATGGTTAAGAACT